AATATGGCTTGGATTTGTTTTGAAAAAATCATATCTTTTTATTTCTTGTATTTGTGCATGTGGGTGTGTGCATGCTGAAAACAAAGCACCTGAAGAATGATTAGATGTTAACAGGAAATATTGGACAAGTCGTTAGGAGAGAGACATTTTCTGGCATATTATTTTTATTTGTTTGCAACCTATCAGTCTATTCCAAATCAGAACTGATTGAGCAGTGTAATGAAGTGAACTTTTAATTAAAAGGAATAAATAGAACCTCTCTGTGTAAAATAAAATAACTCTCAATTGTTTGCATTTTAAATTAGGCAAAAGATCAAGCTAATAGGTTAAAGGCAGAGGCCTCCATGATGGCTACAGTTGCCTATGCCCCTGTACCAAAGATAACAGTTGTGATTGGTGGCTGTTTAGGAAGTGAAAGTTATGCTATGGTAAGATGCTGAACATCCTGTTTTGGGGGGATGATCTGAGGTTTCTTGCCCTTTGATTAGAAGTCCTCCAAGTACCGGTATTCTTCAGATCTGATGATACTATAGGTTGTTAGGATATTATTATGTGTGAGAACCAGCTTGCCTTTCCTAATCACCAATTCCAAACATTCACAGCACAGCACTTTTTATAAAATTAATGAATAATCTATCATAAAATAAAAATAATATAAAATAAGTGATATGCTGATTTTCAGTAGCTTTTCAACAATTAGTAGCTTAGAAACAAAAATGAGATTTGACATGAACTCTCTCCTTTAAGAAGCTTCCTGATACTTTTTCATAAAATATACAAATTAATTAGTGCTATAGTTGTTGCAGTCATTTTAGGTCTCTAATGTGGAACCCCCTAAAGTATTTCCATGCAATTATTAAGATAAAAAATATGTTTCTGAAATGAAGACCACCTCATGGTGATGACATGGACTCATCCATTTAATATCCTTAGCAGTAATATGGAAGTGGTTTGCCATTTCCTTCTTTCAGAATGTTTTTTAACTTACCAATATGTCTTGCATCCTTGCTGTTCTTGGATATCTTCCATCCAAGTACTGATCCTAACTTTGATCCTACTTAATTTTTGAGCCAAGTGCTGCCATTATGTTTCCTAGTCTTTCTGTGAGTTTAAGTGTTATCCATAAGTCATCAATTTGTTCAGCTAACTTAAAATGAGCTTTGTTTTGAATTCATTGCTTTTATATTAACCTTTTCAGTGTGGAAGACCGTTTGATCCAAACTTTCTGTTTCTTTGGCCAAATGCAAGAATTACCCTTGTGGACTCAAGACATAGTTTTACATTCACAGAGATCTGGAACAACTATTCAGAACCAGAATAGACTTAAAATTATTGAAAGGGAAGTAAGTGTATTAAAACATTAAAGCATTGACATTACAATTCTATTAATAATACTACATTTCTATTTGGATTTCAATATGTAACTTCTAAACTTTAAAAATGTGAACTGTCTTTACTGCATCTTTTCTGCTGGTAATGCTTTGGCAAAGTGACTATATTACAGATGGACTATCTTTTGGTAGTGAAGGACACATTTTTAATTGTATTTTGGAGAGCATTTACGGATTGAGGACTGATGACCCAGAGAACTCATCAAAATGAGCCAAAGCTAAAATGTTTGCCTTGATAGCTGTTGGGAGTCTAAGGGTTCAATGCAAAATAGATATTCATGGTGGGTTTGTCATTTCATGGTGACCTAGACAGAAACAGATCTGGTTTGGTATGCATATTCCAGAATAGCATAGACTGTTTCTAACTTGTAAAGTTAACTTCCTGAAACCACCATCTGATAGTAGAATCAGTGTGGTGCAGAGGAGAAATAGAATATTCCAGAATTCTCCAGAATGATACATTCCCACAACAGTGGGTTTTGCATATATCTAATGATCAATCTCTGCTTCTCATTCTTGGAAAAAACTGTATGTTAAGCACATAATAATTTCATACAGAACCTTCATTTATGTAAACCTGAAGATATAGCTATGTATCTCTTAAAAAAAATCTTATATTTCCAGGCTGCAAAATGAAAGTAATGTACTTTACTCTTCTGCCAGGATCTGGGATGATGGAGTAATCTTGCCCCAGAGTTCAAGGAAGGTATGCACTAAATGTGTGTTCAGGACTTTTCTTTCTTTTTGTTAATTTATCCCCAAAACCTCATTTTTTAAATTGCAGTTTATTTTTCCTTTTAAAATCACCTGTGACATTGTTAATCTTACCAGATATCTTAGACTGAATTATTCATTGATACATTCTGCAGTATTCAACACAATGCTTGTTTTCCCAAACAAATCTTACCATCGGTTGCTTTCTTAGATCTGGAAACAATGTGGAGATCGTGCGATCTATCTTAACTTGGGCATCCTTTGGATATGTTAATTCTTATAATGTCACCTATGGCTATGTCTGTAAAAAGTTTGGAAATGGATATCTACACTTTATGAAGGCATTGTGGTTTGAAAAGTCTAATTTATAGTATGTTTCCTTCTTTTATTGTCAAACAGTGTTATGAGCTTGGTAGAGATGATGATTTTACTGTGTTGGCAAAAAATGTCCAAAGATTGCCCAGTTTAAAAAAGACTAGATTAGCAAACTACCAATAATCAGACTAATCCTCCTTACACTCCTAGTTTGTCCAGATGGAGCATTTATCCCTTCTATCAAGGTACCTTTACTGCTGTTCTAAGGAAAGACAGATAAGTGTCCTCTTTTGGATTTTCTTGTTCCAAACTCAGAAAAGCAGAATTTCTGAAAATCTTGTGAAAATCCTGAAATCACAATAGATAGTCTTTCATATGATGAAGATTATAATGAAACATTCTTTTAAAACAATAAAATCCTTTAAGTTTACTCAGGCAAAGTGGAAAGCAAGGTATTCAAAGAGCAAACAAACAAAAAACAAAAAAAAAAACAAAGTAAGTAATGCTTTGTTAAGAATTACTTTGTAATAATAAAAGCAACAAAACAAATAGTTTTCTTATCATGTCTGCAGAAAGCCAGCAATCCTGTTTGAGGTAACTCAATCCCTCTTTGGTAAGGAGGGGCTGGTGAAACATCAGTGGGGCTATGTGTAGGTTATTTAAGGCATCTATTAGATAAAGTTACTTGGTTTCATTCTGAGTTGGACTCAATATTCTCAAAAGTACCTGGGCTGGGAGGTTAGTTATATGAAACCTCTGTATTATCGTACCTTTTCTCTCCTGATCTGAATTCAACTTACTATCACTGATACTAATTTTTATCTTTTGACAGGTTATTGGGCAATGTTTAAGAATTATGAAGCGAAGCAACAAAGATAACGGATAATGTCCTTGCAACAATCTTCTCTTCCTGTCATGAGAATGTAAGCAAGTCAGTTGGCTTATAAATAACTTTTGAATATCAGATTGGGCTGATGTCAAATAATAATATTAAAGTTGTCATCACTGTATAAAAAGTACCTGGATTTAACAAATATTTATATGTTGCCATTTAATCATGTGTCTTATCTATTATGCTGTAGGTAAAAGTACAGACACTCTCAAGTAAATCTTCACTCTTCTGCCCACTGTGACACATCCATATGTGATCTTGGCAACAATATAGGAGAAAAGCTACTGACGTCTTTCAAAATGTACTTTTTACTTTCCAATGTAACTCCAATGTTAGAACACTATTATGTAGCATTTATATAATCAAGAAATTGTGTGCGTTTTTTTTAAAAAGTCTAAAAGATTTAAAGTAACTTACACTAAATTTTTCAACTTCGAAAAAAATTGAAAAATGCCAAAGACTAGCACTCAGCACCTTACTCCTATAACAGATTAATCCAAAAGTTCAGGATGTGTATATGTGCCAGAAGTAAAGCAATATACTTGTTAAGTGATCTTCTCATATCTTTTCACAAACTGATATAAAACCCCTTTTTCTAGCTATAAAGGTTTTCAGAATATACTGTGAATATATAGATCTTCATATCTAAAGATACAAGTACAGGTAGCCCTCGACTTACGACCACAATAGACCCCAACATTTCTGTTGCTAGCTGAAACATTTGTTAAGTGAATTTTGTCCCATTTTACAACTCTACTTGCCACAATTGTTAAGTGAATCACTGCAGTTATTAAGTTAATAACACGGTTTTTAAGTGAATCTGGCTTTCCCATTGATTTTACTTGTCAGAAGGTTGCAAAAGTTGATCACATGACCCCGGGACACTGCAACTGTCATAAATACATGCCAGTTGCCAAGCATCTGAATTTTGATCATGTGACCATGGGGATGCTACAATGGTTATAAGTGTGAAAAATGGTCATAAGTCACTTTTTTCAGTGCTGTTGTAACTTTGACCCATCACTAAATGAACTGTTGTAAGTTGAGAACTACCTGTAGTACAGTTGCAGATAAGGAGAAGCTATGATTATTTTTTAAAAAATAAATGTTTACATTTTACATAATGTTTATTGGACAAAACATCATTTGTAAAATAAAGATGTTTAAGGTATCAGAGATCAAATTCAAAGTATCATTTTCTCTGATAAGCAGCAAAAATGAAAATTATTTCATTTTAATTTTTTAAAATAATTTATGTTCAAATATTAAAATATAAGGAGAAATCTAAAATTGTTTCCAAACTAATAATTTGCTAAATACTTATTTCTCATTGTTCACTACTTAATCTGCCAGAATTCAAGGTTATTTGTTGTATTTCACCTATGTTCCATTACCAAACAATTTTAACAGTTTTAGATTGTAAATGTTTGTCTGAAGTTTGCTGAGATTATAATGCTGATGCTGTTCATCAGCATCTACAGTACTAACAGTTTTTAATTATCCTTATTTACGGTACATTACAGTCATGGAAGCAGTCTTAAGAATGGATACTTCCTTAAGTATTAAAATATTTAAATTGTTAATATTAAACTAATTTTGTAAATCACTGGCAGATAATTAGAAGAATGCTTTATGTTGTTCTGCACATTGCATTAAAAAGAAAGACTGAGGTGTATTCAAGACAGACATCATGCTCTTTTGAAGAGTCCATGGAAAGTAACTGGGATATTTATGTCCACTTGTGCCCTGGCAACCTCACTCATATTCTTCGCATTCAAGATCAAAAGGTAGGCAGGCTTTGGTCCACAGCCAGGACTGATGACTATGCTCAGGATAATACCTGTATCAAAATAAATGCAAATTACGTAAACAAAGAAGCACAAAAACTTTAGCAGAGATAGTAGGTTTGAAAATACAGTAACTCAGGACCATATTAATTTTTGCCTTATTCCCCCAGGAAATATTTAGTGGGCATAAATTAAGTTTATTTATTAAATCCTTTTCATATGTATAGAGCCAAATTTGGATAAAAGCTTTTTCTAAACTTTAATCAAAATGTCATAACGTTACCATCATCCTCTTCTATAGCTTCAGGGTGAGAAACAAAGATTGGTTCAGAGGGATATGCATCTGGTTCTTGCCATACCCATGTCTCTCTAGTTTTAACATTCATTTTGCAAAGCTGAAAAAAGATAAAGATTTTTATTTTTAAAAAATGCATTTTTCTAAAAAGGCTGGTAAAGCAGTCAAAGGCATCACTATTAGGATGTGTAAAACCTTCTGACTCCTAAACCTTCCAATCTTAAAATGGCAATTTTGAGTGTTTTGAAGCGCTCCGTGGCAATGGACCTAGGTATTTGCAAGACCGCCTCCTACCAAACACCTCCCTTCGACCAGTCCGCTCCCACAGAGAGGGCCTCCTTAGGGTGCCGTCGGCCGGACAATGCCGGCTGGCGACCCCCAGGGGGAGAGCCTTCTCTGTGGCAGCTCCTGCCCTCTGGAATGACCTACCCCCCGACCTATGTACAGTTGCGGACCTGCGCCTTTTTCGCCGAGCCCTGAAGGCCCATCTATTCCGTGCGGCCGGCCTGGCGTAGTTTGATTATGTTTTAGTGGGGGTTTTGTATGAGGTACTTTTAGAGCAGGCCTGTTATTTAATTTGATTTTAGAACAGAAACTTGTGTATATTTATCGTGGTTTTTATTATCGCCTGTTCACCGCCCTGAGTCCCGTAAGGGAGATAGGGCGGTATATAAATTCAATAAATAATAATAATAATAAATAATCAGTTCATTATTTTCCATTTTTGTCGATGGAAATAATGTCAAAGAAACAGTGGCAGATAATATGGGTCTATGACAAGTTGCCACAGCCAACTCACTGCGGCCAACTCGGCATGGCCAACTCCCCATAGCCAACTCGCCACAGCCAACTCGCTGCTGGACAATTCACCATGACCAACTCACCGTAGGACAACTTGTTGCAAGACAAACATTACACTAATATCAAAGAAAGGATGAAAAAGAATCATTAAAGAAAGGATGCAAAAGGAAGGACAGAATGAAATATGAATGGTAAAAATTAAAATAATTTTTAATTTATTTTAAATAATTAAATACAATTGTTAAATTGTCCCGCAGTGAGTTGTCCCACAGCGAGGTGGCCATAGCGAGTTGTCCCACAACGAGTTGGCTGTGGCAAGTTGGCTTTGGCGAGTTGGCCGCAGTGAGTTGGCTTTGGCAAGTTGTCCCATTCCTGGCAGATAATATTTATTGCATTGAGATATCCCAGGTGGATTGTCCTGCGGCAAGTCATTCTGTGGTGAGTTGTCTTGTGGCAAGTTGGCCATGGCGAGTTGGTTATGGCAAGATGGCCATCTACAGTGAGATGGCCATGGCAAGATGACCATGACAAGTTGGTCGCGGCAAGTTGTCCCATTCTATCAGTACACATATGGGTAGTCCTCGACTTACAACCACAATTGAGCCCAATTTTTTTGTTGCTAATCAAGACAGTTGATTTTGTCCCAATTTTGTCCCATTTTACAACCTTTCTTGCCACAGTTGTTAAGTGAATCACTGCAGTTGTTAAGCTAGTAACATGGTTGTTAAGTGAATCCGACTTTCCCATTGGCTTTGCTTATCAGAGGGTCACAAAAGTTGATCACATGGTCTCGGGACACTGCAACAATCATAAATATATGCCAGTTGCCCAGTGTGCAAATTTTGATCACGTGACCACAGGGATGCTGCCATAATCATGCAAAAAATGGTCACTTTTTTCAGTGCCATTGTAATTTCAAATGATCACTAAATGAATGGTTGTAAATTGAGGACTCCTGTATATTGTTGTACTTTACATTTGTACTGATAATCCTGCTAAGGTTGGTTGATTAAGCTTTGGTCTGCTCTGCATTCTGTTGTGTCTTGCTGCTATAGTGCATTTAAATAAACTGCATTTAAAAATGTGAAGATTAAAACTTAACTCTTTTGGTTAAGAGTTTATTTGGATCACCCTGATCTAGAGATATTCCATCTTTAGTTCTGAATGGGATTGTTCTATGCCCTATGGGGCTGGTGCTTCACTTAGGGATCTTCTGGATTCACAGTTCCTGCTTGAGGAGATGGCATCCGGGGCCATGTTGACCTTTGCACAGATTCATTAAATGCACCAGTTGTGCCCATATCTGGACTGAAAGGCTCTTAAGACAGTTGCTTGTGCTTTGTTTATATTATGTTTGCATTGTTGCAATGCACTATACCTGGGGCTGCCCTTGAAGACCACCCGGAAGCTGCAGATGATGCCTTGATATGCCCATGTGATACTTCAGGCTCTGGTGTGCCCATGTAATTACTTCAGGCTCTTAGTACGCCCATTTTATTACTTCAAGTAATATAGGCTCTGCTGCTTACCAGCAGGCTTCCAAGTCCAATTCATGATGTGTCATCTATAAAGTCCTTCATGGGATAGCACCTGTTTACTTGGGGGACCATCTGTGATGCATAATTGCTACTCATCTTATACAGTCTGGCAGAATTGTCAAGTTCTGGGTCCCATCAATGAAGTAATGCCACCTTTTCTGTTGCAGTGTCTGCCCACTGCAATAGCTTTCTTCCGTTATTCTTATGAACCCCAGCCTGACCATATTTAGACGAGCCCCTCAGACTGGCTCTTTTCCCAGGCTTTGGCCTAGAGAGAACAGCCAGTCCTTTGTGGCTTGTCTGATCTGAAATGATGGTCAACTTCTTCAGACAATATTTTTGTGTGTAAAGCAAAGTATTATTTTATTTAAAATTTAAAATTTAAATTTTGTATATTGTATGTCACTCTGAGCCACAAGGACTTGGGCAGCTTATGAATTGAATAAAATAAGATATTGGATGGAACCACAATATAATCAAGTGATAGGGAGATGTCACTTTGATTTGATCATCCTATACTGAAAGTGAAAATTCAGCCTTACAAGAGGCTCATAATCTTTTGTAGAACAGCATAACAATATATATATTATTTTAGTGCCTAAAAAGAATACATTTTGTATTTTGTTCAAATATAGGTCAAATTTGTCCCAGAACAGCTAAGTTAGAATGGGCTACATTTTAAAAGGCTATTTGGTTTTGTCCAGCATGCTCAAAAATGAATCTTAATGTAAGTCTCAGAAGGCATAAAATCTTTTTTTATCGAAGTACAGTGAGGGAAAAAATTATTTGATCCCCTGCTGATTTTGTACATTTGCCCATTGACAAAGAAATAATTAGTCTATAATTGTAATGGTAGGTTTGTTTTAACAGTGAAAGACAGAATAACAACAAAAAAATCCAGAAAAACGCATTTCAAAAAAAGTTATAAATTGATTTGCATTTTAATGAGTGAAATAAGTATTTGATCCCCTATCAATTAGAAAGATTTCTGGCTCCAAGGTGTCTTATATACAGGTAACGAGCTGAGATTAGGAGCACTTTCTTAAAGGGAGTGGTCCTAATCTCAGCTCATTACCTGTATAAAAGACACCTGTCCACAGAAGCAATCAATCAGATTCAAAATTCTCCACCATGGCCAAAACCAAAGAACTGTCTAAGGATGTCAGGGACAAGATTGTAGATCTACACATGGCTGGAATGGGCTACAAGACTATCGCCAAGCAGCTTGGTGAGAAGGTGACAACAGTTGGTGCAATTATTTGCAAATGTAAATAACTGTCAATTTCCCTTGGTCTGGGGCTCCATGCAAGATCTTGCCTCGTGGAGTTTCAATGATCATGAGAACGATGAGGAATCAGCCCAGAACTACATGGGAGGATCTTGTCAATGATCTCAAGGCAGCTGGGACCATAGTTACCAAGAAAACAATTAGTAACACTACTCCCCGAAGGACTGAAATCTTGCAGCACCTGCAAGGTCCCCCTGCTCAAGAAAGCACATGTACAGGCCCGTCTGAAGTTTGCCAATGAACATCTGAATGATTCAGAGGAGAACTGAGTGAAAGTGTTGTGGTCAGCTGAGACCAAAATAAAGCTCTTTGGCATCAACTCAACTCGGCATGTTTGGAGGAGGAAGAATGATGCCTGTGACCCCAAGAACACTATCCCCACTGTCAAACATGGAGGTGGAAAATCATGCTTTGGTGGTGTTTTTCTGCTAAGGAGACAGGACAACTTCACTGCATCAAAGGGACGATGGACAGGGCCATGTACTGTCAAATCTTGAGTGAGAACTTCCTTTTCTCAGCCAGGGCATTGAAAATGGGCCGTGGATGGGTATTCCAGCATGGCAATGACCCAAAACATGTGGCCAAGGAAACAAAGGAGTGGCTCAAGAAGAAGCACATTAAGGTCTTGGAGTGGTCTAGCCAGTCTTCAGACCTTAATCCCATAGAAAATCTGTGGAGGGAGCTGAAGGTTTGAGCTGCCAGACATCAGTCTCAAAACCTTAATGACTTGGGGAGAATCTGCAAAGAGGACTGGGACAAAATCCCTCCTGAAATGTGTGCAAACCTGGTGGCCAACTACAAGAAATATCTGACCTCTGTGATTGCCAACAAGGGTTTTGCCACCAATTACTAAGTCATATTTTGCAAAGAGGTCAAATACTTACTTCATTCATTAAAATGCAAATCAATTTATAACTTTTTTGAAATGCGTTTTTCTGGATTTCTTTGTTATTCTGCCTCTCACTGTTAAAATAAACCTACCATTAAAATTATAGACTGATCATTTCTTTGTCAGTGGGCAAACGTACAAAATCAGCAGGAGATCAAATATTTTTTCCCCTCACTGTATGAAACATTTGCATCTGTTCATTTGGGCAAATACATTGTATTTTCTTTATAGTTTGAGCACAGGAGCAGGCTGAGCTAGGATGAGCAATGCTGTGATCTGTTTGAATGGAAATCTATTAAGAGCAAAGCTTTATGAGAAACTTAACCCCTTTGCATTGTGGTAGCTGTGACTGCTGTCGGTATACTGTGACCTGGAAGAAAAGTTTGTTGTATAGTTCTATCTATGGATTTCATACTTGGTATGTTTTTCCCTATAATAAATATTGGCATCCAGAGTTGGCTTTTCAAACTATATATGACTCCCTTAGCACCCTAGAGAAAATGGAGCATTCCCGATCTCCAACAATGATATTTTTTTTGTGTTAAATTAGAAATTTGAATTTTGAATTTGAATTTGAATTTTATTATATTTATACCCCGCCCTTCTCCCGGAGGACTCAGGGCGGCTTACAGCCAGTTTAAAAACAACTAATACAATACAATACAAAATTTAAGAAAATGATTAAAAATAAATATTTAAATAGGCCGCTTCTACTAAAATTTAGTTAAAACCAATTTAAAATACCCCTAGNGACAGGACAACTTCACTGCATCAAAGGGACGATGGACAGGGCCATGTACTGTCAAATCTTGAGTGAGAACTTCCTTTTCTCAGCCAGGGCATTGAAAATGGGCCGTGGATGGGTATTCCAGCATGGCAATGACCCAAAACATGTGGCCAAGGAAACAAAGGAGTGGCTCAAGAAGAAGCACATTAAGGTCTTGGAGTGGCCTAGCCAGTCTTCAGACCTTAATCCCATAGAAAATCTGTGGAGGGAGCTGAAGGTTTGAGCTGCCAGACATCAGTCTCAAAATCTTAATGACTTGGGGAGAATCTGCAAAGAGGACTGGGACAAAATCCCTCCTGAAATGTGTGCAAACCTGGTGGCCAACTACAAGAAACATCTGACCTCTGTGATTGCCAACAAGGGTTTTGCCACCAATTACTAAGTCATATTTTGCAAAGAGGTCAAATACTTACTTCATTCATTAAAATGCAAATCAATTTATAACTTTTTTGAAATGCGTTTTTCTGGATTTCTTTGTTATTCTGCCTCTCACTATTAAAATAAACCTACCATTAAAATTATAGACTGATCATTTCTTTGTCAGTGGGCAAACGTACAAAATCAGCAGGAGATCAAATATTTTTTCCCCTCACTGTATGAAACATTTGCATCTGTTCATTTGGGCAAATACATTGTATTTTCTTTATAGTTTGAGCACAGGAGCAGGCTGAGCTAGGATGAGCAATGCTGTGATCTGTTTGAATGGAAATCTATTAAGAGCAAAGCTTTATGAGAAACTTAACCCCTTTGCATTGTGGTAGCTGTGACTGCTGTCGGTATACTGTGACCTGGAAGAAAAGTTTGTTGTATAGTTCTATCTATGGATTTCATACTTGGTATGTTTTTCCCTGTAATAAATATTGGCATCCAGAGTTGGCTTTTCAAACTATATATGACTCCCTTAGCACCCTAGAGAAAATGGAGCATTCCCGATCTCCAACAATGATATTTTTTTTGTGTTAAATTAGAAATAGACTTAAAAGTAAATGCAGTAATAACCTGAATAGCAAAAAAAACACAACAATCTAAGATGATGCACTTAATTTTGCTATCTTGTATATTCCTATGAGCCACATAAAAGAATTTGGATTTGGACTTTTCTTTGCCTTTTTGTAAAAACAAATCTAGTATATTAATATGTAATACTTACTCTGTCTGGAACAAAATGATTCAGTCCAAGACCGTATGCATATGTATAAGGTTTCCCGGCATATTTTGCATAGTTTATTTGTGGAAATTCAAAAGCTACAAAGCAAAACAAACACTTTTAATTGGCTTCTTGTATTTGTTAGGATTGTCTTTTTTGCTTTTTGCTGAACTTAGTCTTACCTTGTCGTGGCCCTGAAAAAATAACTTCTGGATCCAGCCAGATGGTATCATCACTGTGCAGAATTGCTGTGGCTGTTGTATTAGGTAATGTGATTAGATTTTTTCCTGTATCAGCCTAGAACATCCCCCACAAAAAGAAAGTAAGAAGAAACATGCACTCTATACTGTACCCCATTTTTCAACATTCCACCTATTCTTCCAACAATATAAGTAAAAGACCCGATCTCAAAATCTTTTTTTTTTTTAAGTCTTGGTTTTAGGAGGGGAAACTGAAATGCTAATTCAATAGTGTTCTCCCAAAACATCTCCCCCCCCCGTATGTAAATGCCTCTTGTCCTTTGGGAAAATACAAAATATTGCACTTGAAAATAATATTGCAAAGAGCATCTGAACATTATCTCACCTCCAGCCAGCCCAATGTACATTGCATTCTTTACAAAGTCCTTGCTAGCGGATATCTGTACACATTACATGTGCAAAATATTGGTTTTCATTCAGATATATAATATTTAATTCTTACCTTCTCAATATTTAAGGGAAGGACATACCGTCGAACTTCAGGTTGAGGAGCTTTTTGTGCATTTTTCTTCACTTCTTCCCAGTTTTCTCGTAAATTGGCTAAGTATAAGTAATTGTAAACAAATTCATATCTATAGAGGAATAAAAGGCATCAGCTTCTCAATGAACAGGTCATGGGATCTAACCTAACAGTTACCTATTTGACTATGACAGAATAATAATTTCTGGGTCACTGAAATGCATGTGCCAAAAAATGATCGCTGTATGTAAATTTATATTTTTCCAGTTAATGGCATCCAAATCAAGTACAGATATAAACAAAGCAGAGAGCCAGTTTGGTCTAATAGTTAAGGCACCAGGCTAAAAAGTGGAAGACTGTGAGTTCAAGTCCCACCTTAGCCATGAAAGCCAGCTGGGTGAGTTTGGGCGACTCACTCTCTCTCAGCCGAATCGCCTCACAGGATTGTTCTTGTGGGGTATTTCCCCCACAAGGGGAAAGTGTGCTGGATATGTTTGTCTCCTTGAGTTATTTGTAAAAATAAGGGTGGCATATAAGTAAATAAAACAAAAAAAGTAACCACAAGAAAATAAAACAATTAGTACTAGCCAAATCGGAGACCTTTTCAATATCCTGAGGTATCTCACATATATTTCTTAAATTCTTTGTCATCACAGCATTATTCTGTGTATGCTGACACACAGCCTACTTTGTTTCTTACCCTTAAAAAGATAAACTGACCTTTAGCAAATGTCACTGGTACTATTAAGAATAAATTTTAGCTTCTATTCAGTCAGACTTCCTTGCTATATTTGACAAAGGCAGACTGACAATAGTCCTGTATTTGCGTGCTTCCTTTGTTTTTTCCTCTATTTTTAATGTGTGCCACTAAATTAATTACCTCTTGACTTTATTGTGTTATTGTTTACTCATTTGAACAGAATAATAAACTAATGTGATAATCCCTGAAAGCTATCTGTTTTGCTGCAAATACATGAAGAAAGGATAATTGAAAACAAATGAGCATATAGAATTCATTCAAAAACCAGTCTTCTGAACTAACATTCTTGAAATATATCCTCAGCCTTTGCTAGACGATTATGGCACCTGGACTCCAGTAACTTGGCTCTGAAGATTGCTTTAAATTATAGTTGTATGGTTTTCTGTATACATAGATTTTTCAGTACCTACCCTTTCCATGTACACAAATCCACAACAAGAAATCCATTATCCTCATAAGTATTAATATGATGGAACAGATTAAAAGGTGAAGTTCTGTATTTGATGTTGAGGTACTCCCCTTTTTTCTTGTCAGCAACATGCATCCATACCTTTAAAAATTAATATTAAACCTTGTTAAATAATAACACTATATTCTTCTTATGTCATTGTGCATATGTGTATATGTACGTATGCGTGCATGTGCAACTGTGTGTGTTTGTGTACACACACACACAAAGACAGACAGACAAACAGCATGACAAAGGGACTAATTAATTCAAAAATACTTACCCCCATCTTTTCATTTGACTCAAAACAGTCCATGTAGTTGGCTCCCCAAAGACTCCAGGAAGAAAGAAACTTGAACAAATTAATTTTCACTGGAGTTTCTACAAACACGATGTAGTTTGGAGTTAGTCCAAAACTGTTAGGAAAGACGATGATTGTATATGAGATGGCATAACATTTTGCATACGTACATGAGATTCAAAATTTAGCTATACATTTTTCAATTTATATGCCAATAGTTTCTTCTTTGCTACTTGTTAGGCTAAATGTATCAATGTCAAATTTGAGTTCAATAAACACTGATACATATGACAAGAATGCTTGGCTAGAAATAGCTATCTTTAAATCTGGATTTTTTTATCATAAAGTCTGCATGGGTTGTGTGTCTGTGTAGCTGGGTAATGTCCTGTCAGTGCTGGAGGGGTCTTCACTTACCTCAAAGGAGCAAGTTCATAGCTGGGGGAGAGGGGCAGAACCTAGATTCATCATTGTCACTAGAAGTCCAGGTAGCTTCAGTGATGGAGACTGTCTTTCATCAGTTTCAGCTGATTTAAAAACTGAAACTTACTTGGAAAAATAGAGCTGTGCAGCCATTACCCATGCTCTGGTAATTTCCAGGTTGGATTATTACAAAAAATTGTACATGGGGCTGTCTTTGAAAATGGTCCGCAAACTTCCATTGGTTCAGATAGTGCAGCTAGACAGATCAATAGAACTGGCCAATTCAGTTATTTTAGGCCAGTACTTTACCATATACAATGACTGCTGGTTCATTTCTGGGTCAAATTCAAAGTGTTGGCTTTGAACTTTGAAGCCTTAAACCAGTGGCCTCCAACCTTTTGGGCACCAGGGACTGGTTCTGTAGAGAGAGGTTTTTCTGTGGACTGGAAGGGGCGTGGTTTCTTGTGCTGCCTGCATCCCGTGGATGCGGCTTTGCTTGTTTGCATGGCCTGGTTTCTGACATGCCAGGGACCGGTTCCGGTCCACGGACCAGGGGGGTTGGGGACCCCTGCCTTAAACAACTTAGGATCAGGTTACCTGAAGGAGCATCTTCTCCCTCATGCGCTTTCCTGGATTTTAAGCTCATCTCATGAAGTCCTTCTCCATGCTGCCCTCATGTCGGTGCCAGGTACAGACCTTTCTATTTTCCCAGGGTATTTATATGGTGTTTTGACTTTATTTTGTATTTTAAAATTGTGTTTTAATGCATATTGTTTTGTTTTGTCTTGCTCCTACCCAGTTTGTGTGGAGTATTTTATTTGTATTTGATTTGATTATACGTTTTAACTTAAATTGTATTTTTTAGGGTATTTATTGTAAATCCCCCCCCCCCAGACAGCTTTGTCTATTAAGTGGTTTTAAAATGTAAATAAATACAATGATAAATAAAAGAAACAAACATTTTATAAAGCTACGCCAAAGGTATTTAAATAAATCTTTTTGAGGAGATGCCTTTTACCTGTGCACATACGATGGCTTGAATCTTTCACTACAGGGAAACTGAACCACCACTTCGCATTTTGTCATTGGATCTTTCTTATCTGAGAGAGAAAAAGGAGGTGGCAATATAAGGATCAATTCATTTACCTGTGTTTAGTTGTATAGACTAATTAATGAAAAATCATACAAAAAAAAAGAGAAAAGAAAACAGACGATTCTCGTGAATAAACAAGCATTCAGAATTCAGATACAAGTCTTGGTTCTTTAAACATTTAAGAAAAGGCTCACTGATATTTTTTTCCAGAAGTAGAAATCTTCTGTAGTTTTAGCTATAAAAAACTACATCGCATTGGTTTCATCTGCATTGGAAGGGAGAAACTTTCTGATTTTAGCAGCTGCTATTTGAAAGCGAACAGACCTGCTTGAAGGGGAGGTATCCTTACGATATTATAGGCAAAAGACAAATTCTTTCCAAAGCAGTTGCCAATATTATAAACTGTTCCATCATTTTCAATGTGGGGGTGTGCTGTGACCCCATTGACTGAAATATATTTGCTGATATCCACCTGAAAAACATAATAGAAAGGTAAGGGAAATCCATACGTTTGTCACCAACAAAATGCATTCATTATAAGCACATTACGTTGTGTTGAAGGATGTATTTTATGATTTTAAATAAAATAGACATACTAATTTGCTTATCCTTCAAAATCAGTATTTTGTGATTTTTAAATAAAGCACATACAGTAGATCGATTAATTTGGTGGGAGTAGAAAACAGTTAATCCTAGAAGGCAGCTTAACTTTTTTTGTTCTTGTTACAAATCTGAGCTCTTGTGGAGCTCAGAAATATCTGTAAATACTTTATGGAATAGCAGTGGAAATGAGTTTCTGAACAACTACAGGTGCAGTTTCATGAATTTAGAGAAGACTATAATTCTCTAGCTCAGAACTATTTTCTTTCAGAATGTAAACAAATAAGATTCACAGAACACACAATGTATTATAATAACAGGATTGGAAGGGACTTTAGAGGTCTTCTAGTCCAACCCCCTTGCCCATGGCAGGAGATCCTATACTATTCCAGACTTTCTTTGGGTTTGATGGGATAGATACACATGATCATTGGAATAACAATTATAAACCTGATTAACCAGTTGAATAATTTTGATTATTACAGGGAGGAAATTTCATTCATCTGCATCCAGCAGATAGCATTCAGTTAAAATAGATATATATCCCTCTCACTTACTGACTACAAATGGGGCCTACAATTCCATTGCCTAACTATGGTCACCAAGGGGAAAAAAACACATAACTGCTCTGGAATTATGACAGCACTTCTGCTTCCATTGTTAAGCAAATCACATTGATTGTTAAGTTACAAAATCTTATGTGGGCCTAGTTCTAATTCTAAATAGTCATTGATCTTATTTTTATTTTTAAAAGTGCTTTCTGATAATTTCTTGCAGTAAATGAGAATTGAATGAGATTTTAATTAGCAGGCAAAATATATAGCTCTGTAGAAGACTGTATTTCAATAAAATGCTCTATAAATACTTCTTCAATTACTGTCCCCATTTTAGATATTCTGTAAGCAATATATTACGTGTGCCATCAATACTCATTTCCAGTTTTCACTTGTGCTGTCTTTAATCTATTAAAAAGACCTTTTCAATCGTTTCCAGATTTTCTGTGTTGATTTTTGTTAGGAAGTTTGTCTCAGTACAGGCATAAAAATCTTCTCCCACAGGATACACATTCACCAGGGCATTGTCAGTGATCTCCACACCTTGGAAGTATGAAAAAAATCTGCCAGACACAACCACAAAGAAAGTAGATTATTTCTAGATTGCTGCATAATACAAAAATATGTTTTAAACTTTCCATAATTATACCTTTACTTTTTTCACCTGGAAAATATATTTTTGCATGGATCTGGGTATGCATATGTTCCAAATTCTGTGATTACTATTCTCTTTTCAGTCATTGCTCTTACATAGGCATCAGTCCGAATAAACCTATGAAGAAATAAGGCAAGATTATGTATTATGCTGCATTCTACCTACATCTTACCGGCTCATTTCTCATTTCTATTAATATGTTCCAGAGCCATGTTTGGGATGAAAAAAAAATCCCAGGTTCATAAATGAGGCTAGTAACACACTCCATCCAACATCTAATAATATGTGGATGACACACAATTCTTTTATTCCCTCCCAATAACCTTGGAGGAAGTGTTGCACTGTTCTAGGAAGGATTTATGCAATTGATGAAGGCAAACAAATGGAGACTTAATCTGGATGAAAATACTGGATTCATTCAGGAGACAATAACTGCCCTACTTTCTTTGGACTGAATATGGGAATACTTGCAGTAGAGAAGTCCCACTGACTTCTGCATGAGCCATGTTTTCCTCTTGCAGGTATTCATATTGAAAGAGCAAATGCTGCAAGGAAGCAAACATGCAGAGTTCTGCAAGGAAATACTGGTTTAAATATTGTCTGAACATAGATACTCTGAAAGGAAACATTGATTCGGATAAAGATATACAAACAGATTGAATGAGCAGGAATTGTTTTTGAACAATCAAATATATCACTTGATGGTCTCCTTCCTACCTCCTCCCCCCCCCCCAGTTAATATATTGGGAACAGATATCATTGGTCATCAAGAATTTCCCAGCTGAGTCTTTATCTGGAGAAAATAGTCATGTTACGGTCACAAGCAAACTAAATTTCTATAATGCTGTTTCAAAAGATCGCTTAGAGGTTTTAACTAATGCAGATTTTGTATTGGAAGAATGCAGGTCTATAGGGAGCTGAAAAATTGAGATGGGGAAAGTATAAAAGCAGGTTAAAGTTTTATTCTTAAAAGCAACTCTAAAAGACAGAGAAAAATTAGGGGGAGTTGAATTTCCACTGGCCTCCCCCCTAGATATAGATCTGGTAGCATAGAAGTATTAAATAGTAGAATATGCAATGCTAATTCAGTACCAGTTGTACTGTGCCAATTTAGAGTTTATGTCATAATCTGTAATCCCTTGGAAGCTTGAGGTCTTATTTAAAAGAATTGTTCCTACTCTTGTTCCCCCAATAGAATGTATCAGGGTGGGAGAAATAAAGTCTATATAGAGGTAGTCCTTGACTTACAACTCCAATCGAGCCGAAAATTTATGTTGATAAACGAGACATTTGTTAAGTGAGTTTTCCCCATTTTACAACCCTTCTTGCCACAGTTGTTAAGTAAATCACTGCAGTTGTTAATTTAGTAACACGGTTGTTAAATGAATCTGGCTTCCCCATTGACTTTGCTTGTCAGAAGGTTGCAAAAGGTGATCTCATGACCCCCGGGACATTGCAATTGTCATAAATACATGCCAGTTGCCAAGCATCTGGACTGCAGGATGGAGAAAGCAGGCAGGAAGCATAACTTACCTCCTGTAATAAGTGACATGGCCTTCCTTGAAGTCAAACTTGTGAAGAAGTGCTTGGCCATCAAACAAATGATAAAACGGTTCTGATCCAACTTCAAATAAACCAGGCCCACATCTGAGCAGACTGCCTTTCAGCCAAACTGGAATCTTACCTGTTGAAAACAGAGCAAAAAATGTTTGCTAAAAAGTTGAAAAGTGAAGGTTCTCTTGAGTTTTCACTCTCTGAACTAAATATACCTATTATATATATTGCTACAGGCTTGAGGCTCCTGAGTTGTGCTGGCTTTTCATTCTTAGTCAAATAGCAAAGCTGTACAGCACTGAATTTCCAGCATCTCTCAGCATTGGTCATGGTAGCTGGAAATGCAGGATTGACCACCTCTGGGATTGCAAGGCTGGCTATTGGCCTGGCCTCCATTCTATATTTTTTTGAAACATATTTTAGACCAGAGGTCCCCAATCCCCGGTCTGTGGACTGGCACCAGGCTGCGGCATGCCATAAACCAAACTGTGCAAACAAGCGAAGCCCCATCTGCAGGATGCAGGCAGCACACGAAATCACGCCCCCTCCGGTCCACAAAAAAATCTCTCTCCTTGGAACTGGTCCCTGGTGCCCCAAAGGTTGGGGGGCCACACTGTTTTAAACAGTGGATAGCTGTTTATAGTAAGAATAGAAGGTTACAGCAGGTTTGAGATGGGTATAAACTATTCTTAAAGCACAGTTAGGTGTTTTCTTGGAACTGGGTATTAGCTGGCTTGTGGGAGATTGTTATGTTGCTTTGAGTATTACTGGCATTCAGACAGGACCACTGTACTATGCTCTGCATGGAGCTGCTTTTATAGTATCAGAGAATGAGAAGGGACAAATTAGGCCGCAAATCCTACCTAATACATGAGATTTAATTTAAGTACTGCCAACAGATTGCTGCTCAGCCCTTGGTTGCATACAACCAATGAAGGGAAGACCAGACCAAGAAAACGTTTGGGCAATCTTACACAGATTATACAGGTAGTTCTTGACTTACAACCATTCATTTAGTGACTGTTTGAAGTTACAACAGCCCTGAAAAAAGTGAGTTATGACTGTTTTTCACGATTATGCCTGTTGCAGCACCCCTACAATCACATGATCAAAATTCAAGCACTTGGATTTATGACAGTTACATTGTCCTCCGGGGTCATGCGATCACCATTTGTAACCTTCCCAGCTGGTTTCCAACAAGAAAAGTCAACGGGGAAAGCCAGATTTGCTTAACAACTGCATGATTCACTTAACGGCTGCATGCCTTGCTTAACAACTGTGGCAAAAAAAGATTGTAAAGGGGGAGCAACTCAATAACTATCTTGCTTAGCAACAGAAATTCGGGGCTCAATTGTGGTCATAAGTCAAGGACTACATGCATAACTGCCAAACCATTCCTTTACTTCTAAACTTTCCCTTAAGATGTAAAAATCACTTGGGAATGAGCAGCTCATATTCTAAAATGCTTGTGTGCGTTTTCAACATTAGCAAAATCTTGCAACTATAGTCCTATTCTCAAAGGACCTGTGAGAACAGCTGGGATGTCTGAAACAAATAAGTCTCTCTTTGGCATACATCTTTTTACCATACCGTCACACTGCAAGTGTTTAGAAAAGCCCTCAACCTAAATATTCACTTATGGGTGTGTGGATATCAAGATGCATAAGTTTTGGTCTTGGATGACATAGGAAACCTGATGCCATCTGCAATTCAATGCTTTCTAACATTAGTCCTTTTTTGTTGGTACTTATTGCTTGTTAGTTTAATTATGACTGTAGCGAACTGATACACAAGGATTTCAGTTTGAATTGTTGCAGAATCTATTGTTAGAACAAAGTATAAACCAAGTTCATTTGTGGAAATAAAATCAGAAATTCAACCTTACATCTACTGTAATTAAACAAATTAGTTTTGCAAATAAAATGTAGTTTAGGTCTATCCACTTTCATCCCCTCAAATGATCCCCAGTTTAGCAGGGTTGCATTAACACATAACATAGTGTGAAACCATTGTTTTCACACCAGTCCTTATGTCCTGAATATTCTATTCAGATATCAGCAAAAGAAGAAAAAAGCATATTATAGTTTAGTGTTTTGTGCTCAACCTCATGTCATCCTGAAATTCTGGACTTCAAATCCCATCAGCCCCAACCAGCGTGGTCAGTGACCAGGTACTGTAGCAATGGCAATTCTAAACACCTAGAAAATACAAACCTATCTGCTTTTAATTATGTGAATTGGGCTTGGCTTTCTACAATAAATTCTACCTATTCATTTTAGTTATCCATATCCTGAAATGGTTTCATTTTCATGAAGGCAAAAAAAAGTTGCAGAAGCTGTAGAAAGGTGAAGATCCATCAGGGTGAGCTCAATGTATGGGGACTACATCGGCACATCCATACAGTTTTCTTGACGATTGTTCAAAAATGAGTTCCCATTTCTTTTTTCCAGGCTAGGCTGTAACACTGCACTCCTATCTATGTACTAACCAAGACTGACTGTCCTTCACTTTCAAGGCACAAACCTGTAACATGAGCAGTTATTGGTGAAGACAGTTCTTCTGCGGTCTCAAAGAGCTTCTTGTATCCACCAGCTGGATGCTCAAATCTGCAAGGTGTTAAGAAAGCCAAAGGTGATTGATTTAGCATTTTTTTAAATAGTATTCCCAATTATTGGATGAAAGAAGAGATTGGAAAGTCTTTTGTTTTAGCATAGTTGCTGTGTCTCTAATTACCTGCTGTGAAACCAAGGGATATTTTCATCAGCAGATAAAATAGTCTAACAATATAAAATTCCTTCAGCAGATGAAACTATACACTTACATGGGTCAATTATTTCTCTATTCCTGCAATATTGTATACACCTGAACCCTTCAGTAGCATTAATTTCTGCAGTCAAATCCTAAGCCTTTTTGCTACCTCCCAGAAAACCAGGTTTTCAGCTATGCTTGCCTAGTGAAGCTCTGGATATATATAATTTTGAATAGCAACAGCTCTCCATAAGTCAGACAACCAGAAAGATTAATAAATGAAACGTGATGTGTGGCTCTGCTCTTCAAAAGAGAAAAAAAATCTATTACATCTAAGAGCAATCGAAGTATGATTTTATTATTAAATGGAAGTTTAATTCAACAGACTTTTATGCAATAGATTCAACTTCAATAGTTAAAAGTACAGAAATAACTGCTTCTAAATATTCAATTTCTCACTTGTTTTCTTCCATAAAGTCCCTCGGATTCTTAGCACAATGCTTGACAACACATAAGTTGTCCCTCCTGCTTCTAGAAATAGGCTATCTAGCATCAGGATACACTTATTTGGTCAACATTAAATCTTTATTCATAGAACGTCCTAGTGGATACTTACTGACTGGACATTTTCTCCTCAGGAAAGGATAGGGATTTTCCTGAGCCAAAGACGGAGCACCGAAGTAAGAGTTTTGTGCTGGATATTTATATGAACATTGTCTTACTGATGGAAGCAATTACCTAAGGAAACTTATGAGCCAATCAGCTTGGCCCCAAGAAACAGAAGCATCTTTCAGGGCTCAAATCCTGCTGGAGATTTTGTCCTGCTGTGGCTTGAATATTTTCCAGGGACCTAAATCCCCATAGCAGAAATGGATTAGGAAGAAACAACAAGAGGAAACAAAGAAAGCTATAGTCACACAGTCTGTAACATGCTCTTCTTGGCACCAGCACTTTGCCCTATTTCCAAACTTCTAGCTTAGAGACACTGGCATACTGCTAACTCCAATTTTAAGGAAAAAAATAGTCTCCGAGTGCGCCACAGATACATTGGTTACCTTCTTCTATTCAACGGGAGGACTCAGATAAACACAATAAATGAAAGATTACAGCAGCTAATATAGAATTACTTTGAGTCAGGTAGCCTATAGATGTTTGAACATTATATTTAAAAAGAGCAACTCTCCACTCATCATCATATATTAAGGTCACAGTACACAATTATGATCTGCCAACATTTCTTTTGTTGTTCCCTGAACAACTTGTTTGCATATTAAAAAATGGACAAAGGATAAAGGAAGAATGGGTTATGGTTAAATAAGATAACTACCTCATCCTCCATTTAAGATCCTCATTATTGTCCAAATGCACAAAGTTCTGGTCATTTGTGCATGTGGAAAAGCCTAATAATGCTTTCATACTGGTGGAAGTTTCACCCTCCTAATGTAGAGCTATACAGGTAATCCTCAACTTACAATAATTCATTTAGTGACAATTTGAAGTTACAATGGCACTGAAAAAAGGGACTTATGACTGGTTTTCATACTTATGACCGTTGCAGCATCCCCATGGACATGTGATCAAAGTTTGGATGCTTGGAAACTGGCACGTATTTATGACAGCTTATTGTCCTGATGTCATATGATCACCTTCCTAGTCAGCTTACAACAAGCAATGGGGGAATCCAGATTTGCTTTATGACCAAATGATTCACTTAACAACTGTGGCAAGAAAGGTTATAAAGTGTGGCAAAACTCACTTACCTTCTTGCTTAGCAATGGGAATTTTGGGCTCAATTGTGGTTGTAAGTCAAGGATTATCTATATTGGTTTTACTAGTATGGTAATTTTTGCGATTTTCATAACCTCTAACATTTCTTGTTTTCTTTTCTCAAGTATGAAGCTTTTGCCTAATGATTTTAGGATATATAAATATGTAGTTTTTCTTCGGAATTGCACAGAAGCCTTCATTGATCTATTCTGGGATAAACCTGGTCAGTTTGTTTAATATAATTGAAGTTTCTACTATGGATGGATGGACTTTGTACATATTGTAACTTTATTTTTCAACCTAATTTATGGGTGCTAGATATGTACGCTGCTCATTTGCCAGCATTTATCACAGCATACAAGCTCAACAAAGAAAGAAAGAGTTTGCTGATTCAAGGATAAATAGCAGTTCAACTATATACATTGGTGGAAAAAGACTGACAGCAAAAGGGTATCATATTAAACAAGAGGTTCAAAAGAAATTCCATAGCAGAGCAAAGGCAAATACAAATTGAGTAAGTTATTATGGAAGATGAGAGAAATGTAGGCAAGGGTACTCAAGACCTGGGCTACTCAGAGAGTGAAAGCACATTCAGAACAACTGATTTGATGTATATTTCTCCAGGTCAGGAAGAGGCAAAGATTACTGACATACTTTGCTCTGTTGCTGCAGAGTTCTAAACACAAAAATATAGCTATTATTTAAGCAGTGAAGACACAGTGACCTGTTTTTGCTAATAAGACAAGATTCCAATCTTTTGTATCAAAAAAGCAGGAAGAAATAAGAAGTGTTTTATCACCATAAATTTCCCAAAGGTGCTTCCTTTGAAAGTAAGGTATTTGCTGGCACTGTTTTAATAACTTTTCTTCTAATAAAGTAATCTGATTCCCTGAGTTCTTGTTCCTTCAATTAACTTTTCTGTTTGGAACTCAAGTAGGGAACCTGACAATAGCTACCCCAAAAGGCAGGTTGTCTTTTAGGGCTTTGGAGGCCCTGCATAACTGTTTGGGCATTAGTGTACACAGATAATCCTTGTTTAGCAACCATAAATAGTTCCAGCAAAATGGTCGCTGAGTAAACCACATGAGGGAGTGACATGCTGCAGATTGCTAGTTGTAGCTGTTTCACTTAAAAATTCTCTCATGCAGACACACCAGTGTTACACTCCACCATGTTATTGTCATGCATAGAAATGTGGGTGTAACTGGGCACATGGGTCAGAAAATGTTTTTTCTTATTACCATTTACTAGTAGTATTTGTCAAGGCAAGACAGTAGCTAGATGAAGACTATCTGTACACAGGTTTCAGAGGCAGGTTGCTTTAAATTAGTCCTGGGTCTATCACTTCCTTTAGTAATCTGGGTTCTGCTATTAGTGTCATGTCAATCCAGCAACACACACAATAATCATGGAAAGCCAGTGGTATGTTCACAAGAACTGCTGTAAGTCGGTAGGAGCAGGACAGATCCCAGCCAGACTACATCCCTACTACAATTGTTGCTGAAGCCACACAAATGTTACACAGACTTGTTTTCAGAAAAATGAAAAACGCTATGTCAATGTCAAATCAGAAAAGTTGTCAGCTGGCTTTGGCTAGGATCTGGAAGGATCTGAATTTTGAGGGCATGTTCTTGAATATGTTAGTGAATCACTTTTCAACTGAAATTAGAGGACCTATGAATATATCCACTGTCAGCACAATAAAAATCTGATGTGAATATGGGCTTAAATAAGTCAAAGGAAGAAAAAGATTTAGTTTCTTTGTTGCTATTGCAGCATGACTTAAAATCAACAAAATCTTTGCCATGAGTGGCAAAGCTAAATGTATATATATATATTGCTCTGACCAGCCAGGCAGTAAGATTGTCAAGGCATCAGGTTTTATTTAATCTATAAATATAGAATTCATATTTAAAGCATTTAAATGTAATTTGATTTATATGCCATTTATAAAATTTAGTAACAATTCAGCTACTTAACTTATATCTGCTAAGTGTTTCTATTTACTTAGCCTACTCAACTAACATTGGTAGTTGTTAAAACATTTTAATTTGCTAATTAAAACGCACTGGCTGTGTCATGAATTTTATTTTAAGATATTCTTTTTTGTCTTTTAAAAAAATTATATTTGTATTAACTGGTTTTTGTAAACACTTTTAACTGTTGATTTTTTATATGCCATTCAGATCTGTCTTCTGTGAGATGGGCAGTCATAAAAAAATAATAAAATAAAATATTTTTTCCACTATACAAGGTCCTTTCTTTATTCTCATAGTTAGAAAACAGAATATAATATTTCTGCTCCTTTCAGAAGACTCAAAGCTACTGGAAAAGCTTGTTTACATTAGAAATGGTTCACAAAATGGAACATAGAAAGTAATGAAACAATATCCTTTAAATTCCTCCATTTAAAATTCAGGTCTGCATATGTACAGTAATGTCTTTTCCAAAACATTCTTTTATACATAATATAACTAAATTACTAGCATTTATACAGGTTTCATTAAACAATCTTTTCAGAGATTCTTAATCAGATATTGGTAAATATATGTCATAAATAGAAAATACTTAGAAGGAAAACACAAACAGGAATAAGATGGGGAACAGAATCTGGGCAATCCAATTCTACTAAAGCAACATAAAAAGTGAACCACAACCAACTTAAGCATAACAAAAATGTGAGCACATACAGACAATAGAGAACAATTAATTACAATTTCAAACTATTAGAAAAAATGAATGAATTATTGCTTTATGGCTGTATAAGCAATATTGTTCACTTTTTGTAACCAAGAGTTCAATTTGTACAATAAAAGTGAGGCTGGCAATCATTACCTTTATGGCCATGTTCCATGCTCACTATTCTCAGCTGTGTTACTTAACTGAGCATTAACACATACAATATATAAATAGATTACATACTGAAGATCAATATTAATACAATAGTGTGGTATTCAGATTACAGTATGTTTCTTTTAAAAATAGTGCAAAGAGTTACAACACATGTTTGTATTTATAACTGCTATTACTATATTTATTTGCTATTGGTATATTTAATATACCAATATTAAATGTATCTCATTAAGCAAGTTCATGAAAAAAATGGAACTATTTACAATTTTGGAATTAATTTGTAAACAATGGCATTTATAAAATACAGTCTTCAGGATTCATGATGAAATTTTCATAAAATCCATATTTGCATGAACGTGCTTACTGAAAGATTTCTAATGTTCACGTTCAAAAACTTTCTTTATAAATATATAACTGAGGTACAGATTAACTTTTCATGCTAAAATGCTTGGACTTTCGCAAGTTAAGCATTGGCTTTTTAATTGTAGGCTTGTGATCAAAGAAGATGGCTTCACTTTCTGAAGTTGGAAATCTGCTCCGATAAATCTCTGGATATTCCTTCTGGAACTGTAAATCAAAACAGTAAATTATTTCCAAAAACCAGGTTACCATGAGCACATTACATTTTTGCAAATATTTATTCCTAAATCACAAGTACCCTTAAATGTACAATGTAAACTTGTACATGTAAATGTAAATTCTTACTTCTGATCATGCACCTACATACAAAATCACATTGCAGGAAGTGTCTGATCTTCTATGGGACTACCTCTTTATCTGTTTCCAAGGTTAAAGAATAAATTATTTAAATTGTCAATGTTTATATATAGCTCCTAATCCCTAACCTTATTAACCATTCTGTGTCAAAACAAAGAAAGGATTTATAAAAGATATGGGCAATGATTTGCAGTGGTTTTCTAGCTGAAAAACTAAACTGGAATCAGAAACTGGAACCAGAAAACTGTATTGTTCAGTGTTTTCTTAGCAACCAGTAAGCTCTTATTCAA